AAAATTTATAGACAAATTATTTTGTGACATTGGTTGCAATCCTCACAATGTGACAGCACTCTCTCTCCACCCCGGGTTCCCCACGTCCATTCGTCCAGTTTTCCTGTCCTTTCCTGCCGTCTCATCTTACTTTTTGGCAGGAGCTGCCATTGGGTCTTCTATATTTGACTGAATGAAGAAGCCTGTTCCTCACGTGTGTTATTGTCTGTTTTATAGGCCTGTCTAATCTTTGTCTGAAAAGCGGGCTTCAGGAGTGGCTTCAGTTCTGAGTTAGCAAAGTGTCCGGGGACCATAGTCTCAGGGATTCCTCCAGTCTCTGTTAAACCAATAAATCTGGTCTCTTTTTATGAATTTGAATTTTGTTCTACATTTTTCTCCTGCTCTGTCCAAGACTCTCTATTGTGATTCCTGTCAGAGCAGTTGGTGGCAGTAGCTGGGCACTGTCTAGTTTTTCTGGGCTCAGACTGGTGGAGGCTGTGGATCATGTGATCCTTTAATCCTCTGGGCTAATATTTTCCTTGTGTCTTTGGTTTTCTTCATTCTCCTATGCTCCAGACAGGATGGGACCAATAGATGTATCTTAGATGGCCACTCACATGCTTTAAAGACCCCAGACACTACTCACCAAAGCAGGATGTAGAACATTTTCTTTATGAACTATGTTATGCCAATTGACCTAGATGTCTCCCAAGACCATGTTCCCCGGCCCTTAGCCCCAGCAACTTGGTCCCTCAAGGTGTTTGAATGTGTCTAGGAAGCTTCTATGGCTTTGCTTTGATCAAGCTGTTCTGACTTTCCCTATATTGTGTGTTGTCTTTCCTTTCACCAAAGTTAACACTTGTCTACTATCTAGTTGGTAATTTCTCCTCCCTGCCCCTCCCCTCCGTTGTAGCCATCAAAGATTGTTTTTTATTTCTGTGTGTAAATATTTTCTTGAGTTTTTATAACAGTGGTCTCATACGATATTTTCCCTTTTCTGATTGACTTATTTTAGTCAGCATAGTGTCCTCCAGATTCATCCATGTTGTGAGATGTTTCATGGATTCATCACTGTTCTTTATTGTTGCATAGTATCCCATTGCTTATATGTACCATAATTTGTTCATCGATTCATCTGTTGATGGGCACTTAACTTGTTTCCATCTTTTTGCTATTGTGAATAATGCTGCAATGAACACGGGTGTTCACATGTCTATTCATGTGATGTCTCTATTTCTCTAGGATATATTCCTAGGAGTGAGATTGCTCAATCTTATGGTATTTCTATTTCTAGCTTTTTAAGGAGGTGCCATATCGTTTTCCACAGTGGCTGTACCATTTTACATTCCCACCAGCAGTTCATAAGCATTCCAATCTCCCCACGACCTCTCCAACATTTATTATTTTCTGGTTTTTGATTAATGCCAGTATTGTCAGGGTGAGATGGTGTCTTAGTCATCTAGTGCTGCTATAACAGAAATGCCACAAGTGGATGGTTTTAACAAAGAGAAGTTTATTCTGTCACAGTCCAGTAGGCTACAAGTCCAAATTCAGGGCATCAGCTCCAAGGGAACACTTTCTCTGTAGGTTCTGGAGGAAAGTCCATGTCATCAGTCTTCCCTCGGTCTGGGAGCTTCTAAGGTCCAAAGGACGGGCTCTGCTCCCGGCACTGCTTTCTTGGTGGTATGAGGTTCCCATGTGTCTCTGCTCACTTCTCTCTTTTATGTCTCAAAAGAGATTGGATTAAGACACTATTTAATCTTGTAAATCTCATCACTATAACTTCATCACAGTGATAGAGTTTACAACACATAAGGAGATCACATATAAACTCATCATATTGATAAGAGTTTACAAAACATAAGGAAATCACATCAGATTACACAATCATACAACACTGGGAATCATGACCCAGCCAAGTTGACATATATTTTTTTGGGGACACAGTTCAATCCATGACAGATGGTATCTCAATGTAGTTTTGCTTTGTATTTCTCTAATGGTTAATGATCTCGAGCAATTTCTTCATTTGTCTGTTAGCCACCTTAATGTCTTTGGTGAAGTGTCTGTTCATATCCTTTGCCCATTTTTTTGATTGAGTTATTTGTCTTTTTGTTGTTGAGTTGTTGAAGTATTTTGTAGATTTTAGAGATTAGACCCTTGTCAGATGTGTCATAGCCAAACATTTTTTCCCAATCTGTAGATTCTGTTTTTACTCTTTTGGTGAAGTCTTTTGATGAGCATAATTGTTTAATTTTTGGGAGCTCCCAGTTATCAAGTTTCTCTTCTGATGTTTGTGCATTGTTAGCTATGGTTTGTATTGCATTTGTGCCGTGTCCCATGCCATTTTTGCTACCGTGGCTGTATAGTAGGTCCTAAGACCAGGTAGTGTGAGTCCTCTCACTTTGTTCTTCCTCTTCTATCATGCTTTACTTATGTGGGTATATGGTTTTTAAATCATCTATTGAATGGTTTGCACTTGACTACTAACCTAAAGGTTGGCTGTGTGAACCTGCCCAGTGGCACCACAGAAGAAAGGCCTGACAACCTGCTTCCATAAAGATTACAGCCAGGAAAACCCTATGATGCAGTTTTACTCTGTGTAACTCATGGGGTCACCATGAGTCAGAATCGAGTCGATGGCAACTGGTTTGGTTTTTTACTGGAGGACGTATACATTACTTGCAATTGTTTGCTTTCCTAGACAATGCCGTAATGAGTCTCCTTCCTAAGGAAATTTAGAAGGCTCTTCAGGCTGACTGTGACAGTTGTCAACCCTGTAGTTGATGACAGTGACCCAACAATAAAGGGAGGAATAAGTTTCGCTGTGTGGAGAAACAACGAACTCTTTCCGAAACACATCCAACACATTCAGGTGGGATGGCCTGTTTTGGAGCTCCCTGTTTTGACAGTTTAGTATAGAGCAGAGACTTCTTACGATTGCTCAACACTGGTTGGATCAGAAGAGGAATTTCCAGACTCAGTTACCAGCGGGGCTGCTGAAGGGCTGTGGATTCCACCAGACAGTCTGGAGACAGCTACACAGGGAGATGGGCAGCAGAGCTCCAAATCAGGCAACAGCACGTGTGGAAGGAGCAGTGACCTATGGGGAGACTCGTAACTCATAGACCGGACCTCTTCCAGCAGAGGGCAGTGCCTCAGATATCAGGCAGGACCCAGGCCAGCTGGAACCAGAGCTGGGGACTTCGCTGGAGAGATTGCACTAGCCCTGGACCGAGGAGAATTTGAACTAAACTGTCCTTTGATACTGTAAGTGACATTGGGGAATCCTCAGGGTGGAACACAGTGGGACTTGACACTACTTTTATTTGCCTGTTTTCTAACATTTAATAATATCGGTTTGGTAATAAATCTCTTTTTATACAGTCTGGCAACCTAGGCTGGCAAGTAAGGGAATTTGAAGTCAGTGAAACTAACTAGGCTGGCCACCGGCTTTCTCAGGTTCCTTCTGGGTGCACACTTGAATAAAAAAGGGAGTCACCTGCCTCAAATATAATCTCACTTTCTGGCCTTGGGGCCCTATGATCTGACACAAAGTTTACAAATAGAAAGCTAGCACAGTGAAAGGTATGTAAGAAGTAACAATTTTATCTAACAACGGAAACTTAGTGTTTAACACCAGAGTCATTATTCGCTTTTGCATTTCAATGACTGTGAAGAATGGCCACGAAAACAAACTTTAAAGTGCAAGAGCCAGCCATATCAATGGCTATGCACGCAAATAAACAAAGATGAAAAGAAAGTAGTCAGCAGGCCTGAACAATTTCCAATCAACTCCTCCCTGAATATTAGTTACCTTTTCTGCTCTGTAGTAATTGGAATCAGAGACAGAGTACCACAAGTCTATTTCTAAGGCTGTTGCTTTCCAGTCTTGTGATAAGAAAACGGAGTGACTTTGGTATTTACTGGTGGAGTCCAGGCAGATTTGTCAGATGATAAAAGTACTGTGTGTGCGTGTTTAATTATTTGCCAGGCACGGCTCAGTCACACCCCACGTAGGAAATCAGAGCAAGAGTGAAACCTAAGCGGAGTTTGCATGAATTTCTTAGCAAACTAACAAGTGGAAAAGTACAGCAAAGAAAATAAACTTTCTGGGCTCTTTTATTTCCCCTGCAACTTCTAGTCCAGGGATGGGTGGCGTTCTCCGGGTCGCCAGATTATTCACTGGCGGTCGTGCTCCGGCCGAGGGGCGGCTCAAGTCCCCAGGCCCGGCCGGGGGACGGCTGGAGGTGAAGGGCGGCACGGGCTGGCTGGGGGAGCGGGGCGGGCGGAAAGGGGTCCCGGAGGTGCTCGGGAGAGGCCCTTCGCCCTAGCCGCAGCCCCGCCACCACCCCGTCCCCGGCCGCTGGCCCGGCAGGGCGCGGCCCCAGCGCCGCCCGGCTCGCCCTGAGAGGTGGGACTTTCCCCACCGGAAGTGATCGCGGCCAGTCTTGGGGAGCTGGGGCGCCTCAGCCAGTGTGTCAGGGAAACCCTTCCGGGTGTGCACTGGGGGGTGGGGGGTGGGTGAGAAAAAGCGGCGGCTTCGCCTGGAGTTCCTGCGGCCGCCGCCGCCGGACGGCCCCCGCCCTTCCCTCGGCGGCAGCAGCAGCGCCTGGGCGGCCGTGACACCGAGGAGCGGGCCGTTGGCCATGGCCTTGGCGTGACGGACCGGTCCGGGTGGGTGGGCGCCGGGGGAGGCGGACGGGGGGCAGGCGGGTAACGTGCGCTCCTCTCCCCCCTCGCAGGCCGGACGACCCCGCGGGAACCGGGGCCCGGAGACCCGCCCGGGCAGCAGTGACGGGAGCGGCGGCCGCAGGCCCGGGCGGTTTGGCGGCGCCAGCAGGAAGCGGGGGTCCCTGGGCCCCTTTGTGTGCTGGGCGGGGGAGGGGTGCCGGGCGGTCGCTTCCCACGGGGTCCCCTTTCGGCGCCCCCGCCCCGTCCCTCACTGGGACGCCCCCTGCCTGGGCTCCAGCTCCTATAGGAAGGGCATTGCTCTCCCATCCCCACCCACCCCGACACTGGGCTCTTCCCCTCCCCCGCCTTCAACTTCCTCTTCTTCCCTGTTGGGCCCTCGGCTGCGCTGCACTCTCCGCCCCAGTTCGCAGATTTCCGCCCACCTTCCGCATCGCCTCGCCGCAGCTAGCGGGGTGCTGTTTCCCCCCCTCTGGTAGGAGTTGGTGAAGGTGAGACTCATGAGGGAATACAAGGTAGTGGTGTTAGGGAGCGGAGGGGTTGGCAAATCTGCCCTGACTGTGCAGTTTGTCACCGGGACTTTCATTGAGAAATATGACCCCACCATTGAAGATTTCTACCGCAAAGAGATCGAAGTGGACTCTTCCCCCTCCGTGCTGGAAATTCTGGACACCGCAGGAACTGAGCAGTTTGCCTCCATGAGAGATCTCTACATCAAAAACGGCCAAGGTTTCATCCTGGTTTATAGTCTGGTTAACCAGCAGTCTTTTCAGGTAACCAAACCAAATCTTGTGATTTGTTAGAAGGGGGGTGTGGTAATCCTGTCTCGACTTCTGGTTTGCTTGAACTGTGAGTTAATGACTATGTTTGGCTTTTGAAAGCTAGACTTGGGGCATTTTGGAGGTTACTCCTCGCAGGGAAGAGTATCGGGTTGTTTCTATAGAAAGTACTAAACTGTCAACAAATATTTTAAAGTTATTTTAAAGTCAAAGAAACGTGAAAAAGAAATGTCAGTCTGCGTATATTTCGCCTTTCGGAATATAACCTTCTGGAGTTGCTGGTTTTCAATTCAACAAGTATTGATTATTGTGCTCAACAAAACATTATTTTACAGATAATCTCGGGTAAATAGAGCACATTGAAAAGCAAATTATTTGGCGCCCATTATCTGTTGCACAGATAAGCCCTCTGTGTCTGCTTTTCCTCCCGCCCCCACTCTGTGCTCACCCAAGTTTCTCAGCTAGGTTCGTAAATCTTAGTGCTGCAAGATGAAGAACGGAGACCTGCCTTCTGGGCATTTTGCGTACTTACTTGGGGGTTTGGTATAAAGGGACGTTACTAATTGACAAGACTAGTATCCAGAATTAGTTACTAACGAAAAAGCAGGAATGACTCTCCTTTTCTGCAGTTTGTCCAAACCGTTTCTGGTAACATTAACTATATTTTTAGAAAACTTGTAGATCTGAGAACACAGAACAAGTGCAGATTTCTCACCCTAGCTGGGTGGCCAAACTGGATGTGGTCCAATTTCGTAGGAAAATCTGTCCTGCCCTTCACTGGGAGACAGACTGAAGGGTTAACGTTATTTTAAGAGATGCAATAAATGTTGCTATTTATTCCTTGAAAGTAAATAACCTCATATTGACCCATCGTATTGACCTTCATTGACTTAGGAAATGGAGATATGTATATATGTATATTTTTTTTGCATTTAAAGGTATGCACTTAATGGTGTTTACATAAGAGACATTAAGTGCTTTAGCCAATACAGTACAATTTGCTAATTTGACTTTCTTTAGTATTTTAAATTTAAAGTAATAGAGTGAACTTTTCCAGTAACCTAACCAATAAATACCAACTTTAGAATTTTTTTTAAATGTTAAGTTCTGGGTAAATGAATCAGAGCTATTACGACCAAACTAAAGTTCATTTTATGTAGGCTTAAATTCCAAAGCAATTGTATCATAAAAGCATTTTCCCCAGAAAGTACCAAAGTACTAAAGGTGCTATTTGACAGGCATTTTCTTTCTAAAGGACCCTCAGGAGATTTGTTATTCTATTAGCTGACTCTCCTGAGGCTGAAACTCTCTTGAAGGGTTTTTCATAAGATTTCCATTATATCCACTTCTGTTACAGACATAAATAGGGAGTGGAAAACTGTGCCATCATTTCAACAAAGACTTTAACTTTTTTGAACCCAAATTCCATAACTTTGGATTCTCAGCTGAATTTGTGTTTCCCTAAGGTCACAGGGAAAAGAAGCTTAACCTGGAAGACTGAACTGATACCCAAACAACATCGTTGCAAATATTCAATAACGATTTTTCCCCTAAATTTTCAGAGTCCCATTTTTTTCCTTCATCCCACATGTGAATATCGTGTTTACTGTAGCTACTCAGACTGAACACATGTTTTCTATTTAAGTCAAACCTTTTAAGTTATGAAAAATCAAAAACAATTTGTAATGTTAGGATTCAATCTAGAGTATTGTCTTAAATCGATCGTTTTTTCCCTCCCAAAGTTGATGCTACTAGAGAATTGTGAAGGTTCTTTTTATTATGTGTCTAATTCATTGGTTTTTAAATTAGAAAATGTAATACACATGGAAAAAAATTCAAGTAGTAAAAACAAAGATATGCAAAAAATAATAGGACTTCTTCCCACCCCTGACTCCCTGTTCAGTGTCCTTCCTGGGAGTTGCTGACTGTTACATAGTTTCTAGTGTATTTGAAAATACACTAGTGTTTGATTTTATTGGGATAAAGGCAGACCGTTAAATTTAAAATGAAATATTTCGTCTGTTTTTAACTTTGGTCTTCTAGGTATTCGAAAGTGTTGTTGTTCCTACCTAAAACACTTTCTCTCCAGCACTCTTACTCAATGCCTAGGAATGCATAGATGCTGCAGTCCTGTGCTAGGATAACAGGTGTTACAAGGCGTGACGACAAGCAGGCAGGTTTAAGGAGATAGCCGAACACCTTCACATACGAATGGATTAATCATATTTGGGGAACTTCCTTTCTTAACTAGAATAGACTGGGGGGGAAGAAATGATTATATGAGTCGGAAGGTTAATGCATAAGCTACGTTTTCAATTATTCTTGATAGAAACCCAGCAAGTAGGGCCTGTAGAAAATATCTAGTTCAGTGGAGAAAATGACATTTTCTCTCTTTGGGTGTGTGATTTTATTTTGGATTCAGCTTTATAAGACATCACTGAGGGATGTCTTTTTGCGATATTTTATTACTTCTGTTATGGTTATGCAAACAGCGTAATTTTTTTTCTTTCTCTTTATGATTGTTTGAATAGGATATCAAGCCAATGAGAGATCAGATTGTCAGAGTGAAGAGATACGAAAAAGTCCCACTAATCCTAGTAGGAAATAAAGTGGATCTGGAACCAGAAAGAGAGGTTATGTCTTCCGAAGGCAGAGCTCTGGCTCAAGAATGGGGCTGTCCTTTCATGGAGACATCGGCAAAAAGTAAATCAATGGTGGATGAACTTTTTGCTGAGATCGTCAGGCAAATGAACTATTCATCCCTGCCCGAGAAGCAAGATCAGTGTTGTACAACTTGCGTTGTCCAGTAAAAAAGATAAAGATAACCTCAATCATGGCCATACCGAGCAGGTTAGTGGTTGCTGGAACCCTATGAGCCAGGTAGTGCTCTGTTTTTGATCAAATATAACAAAAAGATGGTTAATACACATTTTCCTTAGCACAAAAGTCGTCAACACTCATTGTAGAAAATGCCAAATGTACACGTAAGCGAAAGGAAGGTAAGGAATTGCCTCTGTTCTCATCACCAAGATTTATTTTTTCAAAGTGAGTTGCTGTTCTTACCTCTCGGCTTTATTGATAACATTTCTTTAAGTTAGTTAAATGATAGTACACCTTTCTCTGTCTTGTTGATTTAGCATCCAAAATGCACAGGACAGCATTCAGTAATAATTTCAGAAGATGATTAGTTTTGTTTTCTAGGCTTTTATATCCTGGACTGGAGAGCTGCTGTAATTGAAATCTTCAGTTTATTAATCGCCCGAGTGTTTGATTTAACAGGATGCTTATTTTAAGTGCCTTGCACTTAAGGGATTTAAGTGACCTCTGGTAGTAATAACAAAGTATACTGCCACAATGCACCTTGAATATATGGTCCAAATGAGAATCTGGTTAAATCACCTGTGATGGGTTAGAAGGGACCACCCCCAAGCACAGGAAACATTTTTATTCATTTTAATAAATAATAGAGTTCACAAGAGCAAATAACAAAAACCTCAAGCCTTTCATTGAGTTAAATAACTTCACAAAAGTCTTTAAGTGAATGAGTTTTTGAAAAAGCAAGGTTTTGTAAAACTTACTGAGCCTTGAAAATGAGATTCTTTTATTCGTGTCATGATCTTTTAATCTCAATTGTAATTGGGCAGATAGTCTCACACAGCTGGTAACACTTAGATAACAATATAAAACAACCAACAGCATGGATGACTGAGAAGCCACAGCAAATGCCAGACTAGCCTGACAATATCAGGAACAGAATTGATCTTTTTGAGCCAAGGTTGACCTCAGGTCTTGGAGGCAGTGTTGCAAATGGCAACAGGCATTTCAGATTGGAGTGATGATTCCTAATCAAAGGCCTGGCTTTATATGTACTCCCTGGAGAAAAGACTAACGGTCCCTAATTTATCTTTGCAGACTCGGGTCTCCTGTCAGGTAGTGTCATCTTTGAAAATGAAGGATGACAACAGTGCTTTATTCAAAATGCTTTCACTCATCAGCCTTTTAGCATACCAGAATATGATGAAAACTCTTTTTTTTTTTTATGGCTAGCTACATCTGTTATCTTACAAAGTCACTGTTCAGGCTCTAGACTGGCATATATGCTGTTGATAGCATTGCATTTGTAGTATAGCCCTTATTGAGGCAGAGATTGGTGTATGTACGTGAGCAAGTCCCACGTTCTTGCTTCCGTAATCTCACTTCTTAAATTATAAGCCAGCTTCAAGTTTGAACAAGTTCAGTGGCGATTGTATCATACCGTTGTGCTCTGTTTCTCTGACACTTTTTAACTGGGCAGATGACAAAAGTGTACATGTTTTGTTTTAGTTTTATCATCTTTATAAAAAATTAACCAACTCCCACAAAATGTTCCCAATTTTCTTTCCATCATTAATGTACACAGCTATAGGAAGTGAACTGAATAAAATTGATCTCATCATGTAGGGGGCCAACTGTCTCAAATTGATAAGTGGATAACTTCTAAAGCTTTTTTGTTGTTGTTTATTTTAACCTTTCTTATTCTGAATTTCTGAGTTAATTTCATCGTGCAGCTTTTTGTGATCTAAATTACTTTTAATCCATTTGGTTACCTACAGGAGTGAATACATAGCTTCTTTTTTTATTTTTCTATTTTAAGTCAACTGTGCTTAAGTCTTAGGAGGTCTGGTGGCACAGTGGTTAAGCTCTCGGCTGCTAACTGAAAGGTTGGTGGTTTGAACCCACCAGCTGCTCTGGAGCAGGAGAAGGATGTGGCAGTCTGCCGTAGAGATTTACAGCCTTGGAAACCGTTTGGGGCAGTTCTACTCTGTCCTGCAGGGTCACTATGAGTCGGAATTCGACCTGATGGCAGTGGATTTGGTTTTGATTTTGTTCTTGGGACTTAAGTCTTAACTTATTTCTTGTTTTTTTTAATAGGGAATCAGAAAATATTTTAATATCAATAATCGCTTATTTCTTTAATAATGGGACAAATTGCCCGAGTAGTGTTTTGTTTGTTTGGTTTTCGTTTTTGTAAGCAGAATACACAAATGAAGGTGTGGGCCTTGAAATAAAATATCTGATCAGCTTGAATTTCTGGTAATATTAAAGGGAATTCTCTGACCAAGGTCTTTTAGAACAAAGCACACATGTGCCGTTTCTTTTTTTTCTCTTTCGGCCATCAATCAAATAAGATTGAATGGATGTGTATGGGAGTCTGTACTCTGAGGCCAGTGAAGTTTGTGGTTGTGCCTGCTCACTATTTACCTAAAAATTAGGTAAATGGGATTGTGAATTCCGTAGCTTGAGCCGTGGGACTATGAAGTCTCTCAAGTTCCACATCTAGATTGAAGATCGAACTTTGACAGGTAAAGGTGATGTGAGAAATGGTTTTCCTTAATATTTAGAAGAGTACCTTGTCCAAGTTAGAAATAAGAAGACTAAAAGAAGTCAGAAAGGCTGTGCTTGTTAGTTGGTCACTGGTTGCTCTTAGTTAATAGGGAAAATTTATTAATGCTCTAAGAATTGCTTCTGATAATTCCTCACATTTATTTCTTACCACCCTTCAGTCTGGGTCACCAGTCTTTTGCCCAACACCTGTTCATCGGCATGGCTCCCAGGATTGATTGTTTCCTCACCTTTTACCCTGCCACTGGCAGTTATCTTAGTGTAAGTTTGGAAGCACGGTCAGATTCTTTCTGCCCTGCCTTCATGCCAGGTTTCCTTACTGGCCTGAGGAGCCTGCCATCAAGCGCTTTGAAGGGCTTCTTTTATTGTGCAGCAGCAATATAATAAAAACCCAGGTCAGTGCTGGAACCCTGTTTTGGCTTTATTGACTACATCATAGCTCCTCTGTGTTGGTGTCAATAATTAGCAGTTGGCTGTGTTGGTATACTGTTGTTGAGAAGGATGAATGTTTTGTTAATAATCTGATTATCTTATAAAAGAAGTAAAAGAGTCCTGTGGGGTTTGGGGAAAGGAGAGACCACATCTAGTTAGAGCACGGTTTCTCAACCTGGGCTCCATTGACATTTTGGGCCAGATCATTCTTTGTTGTGGGGGGCTGTCCTGTGCGTTGTAGGATGCTTAGCAGAACTGGCCTATTCCCGCTAGATGCCAGTAGCACCCTCCCCCCCCCGCCCCCGCACAAAGTGGTGACATCCAGAATTATTCCAGACATGCACATGTCTGCTGGGGGGCAACGTTGCCCCTGGATGAGAACCACTGAGTTAGTGGTATTGGGGACTATAGCATTTGAGTCAGGCCTTGAGGAATGAGTAGGATTGGAGGGGTGGGGGTGGATTCCAAACAAAAGGGATGCCAAGAAAGAGCAAAATAGTAATAAATAGTAATAATATCCTAAAATATTCTGTCCACAGGAAAGGAGGAAGTGCAGAAAACTTATCCCTTAAATGTGACAGTTTAGTATACCCTTTTGGCAAATAGAATTTTTTAAAGATTATTTTTCAAGGATTCCTATATCTTGGTCCAGCTATAAAAAAAAAAAAAAACAGAAAACAGGAGTAAAAAGGATGTCTTTCACAACACTTTGACGGTCTTCCGCAAGATTTTATAGCGTTTTTCTCAAAGTGTATTATGAAATGGGTTCTCCCAACTAGAGTAAATGGTGCATAAGAGTACCAAACACCAGGCATCAAACTGAAAGAACAAAGGTCATTATTTATGTCAGCCCCAGTTCATTATTGATGTCAGCCTGAAGAAAAAGGGAAATTCTCGATTCAAGACTAGCACATCATTTCACGTGGCAGCAGAATGCCTGGGTCGTTAACAAAGGCTCCTGAAAGGCTTCACCATCTATGAATGTCATTTTAGCCTCGCTGGGCTTACTATTTCTAAACACAATGGAATTGATTAGTATTTTCTAGGGTTTTTTTTTTTTTTTTTCAATAAATAAAAATGTGGAGTCAGAATTGTTTCTCATCTTTTTGTCCAGCGTTTACTTAGATAGGATATGCTGGGGATTTAGCGAATGTGAGGAGGAAATCCTCAAACAAAATCACATTGTACTTTAAAATGCTGACATTTTCATATCCAAGTTAAATATTAATCATATCAGTAAAGCACTGGGGTGGAATTCTGTTGCAGAAGTTACAGTTTTGTTAGCTACCTCCTCTTGTCTTTTGATCCCTGCCCTATTCTGTGTATCACTTTGAGTAGGGAAAATAGCGTCTTTCTAATGCTCATCTGTTGCCCACTACACATGGGGAGGCAAAGGGGAGCCTGAGGTATGGAGTCCTTGAATGGAGCAGGAAGCACGCTGTGAGGGTGGTGTGTAGCATAAAGGTCTACAGTGGACCTAGGGAGAAAGAAGAGCAGAGCTGCTTTGCCCTTTCTGCCGCCTCTCATTCTCTCAGACCTTCATTGACCCCCACCAGGTTCATGGTTTGGGACTGCTGAGAGTGAACAGGCACCTAGTTAGACCTGCTCTGGGTGTGGAGATGCCCTGGTGATTAGAATGACTCTTTGTATATCTACTCCCTCTTTAATTGCTTCCTTTTAACCTCAAGATTAGGTTTTTATTGCAGAATGAAATGCATATGAGCCATTCAGTTTTACTACATTACCTCTCTGGCTTAAAATGAGCCATCAGTAGAATTAACAAAAATTGCATCATGGAGTTGGAGCATTGCCACCAAGGAAGTGTTCTAGCCATACTACAGGAAAGATTCTCCTCGTGGGATTACTTTTCAGTGGAATTCTAAAATTCAGAAGATACTATCACTAAGAAAAACTTAAGTCCTGTCAGCTGTTGGAAAAACTTATCCTACCAAAAACATACTCCCGAATTCCTTTGATTAGCCACAGTCTTAGGAATATCAGGTTCAGAAAAAGCAATTTAGAGTTGTGAGAGCAGCCGTGCTCTACCTGGTCTAGTTCAAAACTAGAAGTTGGGATCCTATCCTAGGGCTCACACTGCTCCTTATTGTCAGTGGACATGGTCATACTATTGGAAATCTCAAAATTGAGCTCATTAAACCAGTGGACCCTTTTGGAGCCTTCAGAAAGCCTAGGAAATAAGAAAAATAGCTTAGCTCTTCCCTTTAGCCCGGGTTTACCATACACTTTTAGGGTGCACGCTCTCCCTAAAGTGTGGTTCCACCTCCGTTACAAGGATCCACACCAGATGCTTAGTGGGTGACAGGTGAGCCCTTTTAATGACCAAGTCCTCCCCCCTCTCCCCCTCGCCCGCGCCCGCCGTAGCCTTCCTGACTATTATGCAAATTAGGATAGAGGTTTAACAAAAACATAACCTCTAGCAACAGAATTCCAGCCTGGTGTTCTACATAACTAATATTTAACTGGGATATGAAGATGCCAAGTAAAAAAATGTGAAGGGAAATTCACTTAAAAAAACAAGTCCATTGGTTAAATCCTCAGCAGATCATTTATCTAAAAACTGGCAAAAAGACTAAAAGCAATTAAGAGTGCATATTTGTATTTGCTTTACAGAGAGGGAGAAAGAATGCTAGTAAATTCCATTGTATTTAGAAATAGTAAAGCCCAGCGAGGCTAAAAAAGACATTCATAAACTGCTAAGCCTTTCAGGAGCCTTTGTTAACGTCCCAGGCATTCTGCTGCCACGGGAAATGATGTGCTAGTCTTGAATTAAGAATCTCCATTTTTCTTCAGGCTGACATCATTAATGATCTTTGTTCTTTCAGTTCTGTGTTTGGTACCCTCGTGTACCAATTTACTCCACTTGGGAGACCCTATTCCATAATTTCCTGAGCAAATGATTTGGACTGCCCCCCCCCCC